GAGTGCAGCCCAAGAAGCCCCTCACATCTTTTGCCTCTTTTGCCCCCATTCATAAGACTCCTCTTGCTTTCGGATTCTTTGTCCCCGGGAAGCCCCAGCCTCTTTCTTCTGAACACTTAAGGTGTGGTCTCCCCTCCCTTATCCACTGCCAGCTCCTTGCTTTGTGCCTCAGACTGTTCCCTCAGCCTAGTGTCTTTGTCTTTCCCTTTTTCTGAAAGCGCAAACCCTGCCTGTCTTCCTTTCATTCTTGCCACAAATGTCTCTTCTGTGGGCTCCAAACTGGACTCACCCTCTGAGCAGCTCTGAGTGAACAGCTCAGCCCATGTCCCTGCCCTCTTAGGACTGACAGAGAAGAGAGTGCAGGTGGCCAACCTTTTGGTGAGCCAGAAGAGGCTGTTTAAGGTGACCATTGGGCTGGAGGGACAGTATGATAGGAGGCCAAATAGGGGTCAGGTAGATGGCACCAGTTGAATGACGTGGAGGGCCCAAGGTGGAAAGAGAGAGGCAGTTAGGGTTGGAGGGCCACCCGTCAGAGGAGTAAGGAAGAGATCAACTGCTGTGTGGGCAGGAGATTGAGGCATAGCGATTTCCCTCTCTCTCAGAGGGAGGTGCAACCAGAAGGTTTGCAGATGGGGTAGTCTAAAGTTCCTCTGCCTTCTACCCCGGAAAGTGAGTTCCAATGACTGATAGAGGAGGGCATCGTAGCAGCCATATGCTTTGGGATTCTTCTCGCTGCCTCTCGTCATCATCCTTCAGCCTTCTGTCAGAGCAGAGCTTGTGCACAGGCCGCAGAGGCCTCGGAGTACAGAAAGATGTGTGCCATTACCCAGTGATGACTCCCTGGGGTCCTTCCTGTTCCCAGTGGTGTTGGGCCAGAGATGCTGTAACAGATCGCACAAGGCCTGAGGAAGGTCTGCTTGTAGCAGCTGTCATAGCAGCCAGCTCACGACGTGTGCCCAGACAGATGTGCAGCATGGCCTGTCCACGTTGTAGTGGGCAGGGGAAGAGCCAAGGCTTCAGGGTCTCTGGCCTGCACCAGAGTGCAAGATTGGCTCTGCCACTGTCCAGCTCTGAGTTTGGGCAGACTCTTGAAACTCTCCAAGCCTCAGTTTCTCTTTCTTTCTTTTTTTGTTTTGTCTTGTTTTGTTGTTTGGTACTGGGGATAGAACTCAGGCCCTTGTGTTTGTGAGGCAGGCGGTGGAATCACTGAGCCACATCCCTGGCCCTAGCCTCAGTTTCTTTATCAGTAAACATGATTGTATATCATGAGTATTTATGGCTGTGCTCTGCCCAGGCAACATTGTCATCTTGCCTCACCTTGAAACACTGTGAAACGGCAGAGCAGGCTTATGCTATAGGACCCTTGTCCCCTCATCCAGCCCACCAGCCTGGCACCCACCAAATCTCTGGCCAGGTTTCCTGGGCCTTGTCAGCCCATCTTGAGGCCCCATCCAGGGCCTCAGATGTGAATTAGCTGAGAGCCCTCATGAGCTGTCAGGACACTTTGTGCCTTAACCATCGATCAGCTGAGGCCTGGGAGACAGTGGGAGAAATGTGCTCTCCAGCAGTGCTCGGTGGCCAAACTGCAGGAGACTAATTTATAATCCAGGTCAGGTTTGGCAAGTCAGTGCTTTCTGCTCTCTTTACAAGTGCCCCAGTCCTGTCCTGCCGCTCCCCTCCTCCCTCGTCCATCCTGAGGGGAAAGGACAGTCAGTGCAAGTGTCATTGCAGAAGCTATGTGGGTAGTGGAAAGCAGAAGCCAGGCGAGGATGTGTCCCACGGCCACAGAACCTGCATTGAGGTGCCCAGGCAGGAAAGCTGTCTCTGGCTCTTCACTCTGGCTCCAGGACTGCCTTCTCATGTGTCCCAGCTAGGGGGAAGTCTTTGTCAGGGCCCGCTTTTCTTGATTTTCTTAGGAAATTATGACTATTATAGACATGCTTCTTTAAACCATGTTCTTCCATCTCTTCTAGAAGAGAACCAAACTGCTTCTACTTAACTCAGGTCTCCTGGAGACTTCTCACAAGTGCCCAAGGAGCCCCAGAAACAGCTTCAGGGTCACAGCTCTGGGGTAACTTTTCCCTAGCCTCCTGTGAAGCACAAGTTAGACTCACGTCATGGATCTCAGCTGAGGGGAATGGCAGCCTCACAGTGGCCACAGTTGGTCCCTTTTCAGCTGGGCCCTGATGGCCTTGCCTCCCTGAGTTCTTGCTTCGGTCAATCCCCCAGCCCCACAAAAACCTTGTGCAAACCATAGCCCAGGTATTACCTCCTTCTGGAAACCTCTTGGACCTTCCCCACTGCTCCAAACTTCCACATGGTCAGGACTCAGCTGTGGTATTAAAAGTACAGGTGATGGCCTGGCGTGGTGGTGCACGCCTGTAATCCCAGCACTCAGGAGGCTGAGGCAGAAGGATCACTGTGAGTTCGAGACCAGCCTGGGCTACATAGTGAGTTCCAGGTCAGTCTCACTAAATAGTGAGACCCTGTCTCAAAAACAAAAACAAACAAACAAAAATGTACAGGTGATTTCCTATCCCATGTCCTCTTCTGTGAGGGATCACCCATGGCTTCTTCTACTGGGGTGGATACCATGTGGGCTGAGCCTCTCGCTTCTCCCTCAGGAGAGACTTTGAATCTAGTGGCACTGAGGCCAAGGGGTCACAGCTGACTCAGATGTGCAGTGTGAGCTTCTCTCCTGGGCTCCCTGAGCTTCCCAGTGCTGCTAGGTCCTGTTGGCCTGATGCTGAGCCTCGATGAGCCAGCTTACACTAACTTTGTGTTTGTTCCTTTTATTCCTGGGCTTCCCCTGTATCTTCACTGTGCACTCAGTTTCTCTGTGGCTGCCCTCTAACTCACTGCTTCCTGGGCCTGTGGTGGAGCTGGGGATTACAGCTGGGTCAGGCTGAGGCATGGGGGGTAAAGCGTCAGATTGGCCTTGTAACCAACCTCTTGAGGCTCCTGAATGAAGTGTCCTAGGAGATGATTCCTCGGGATCCTGGCTCCTGGGCACTGGAGGGGCAATTGAATTGAATCACAGTTCTTGCTGGAGTGTTGGAGCTCAGAGGTTGAAGGCAGGGAATGAGTGTTTTACTCTTCTTGAGTTCGATCAGACTGGCCAGTGTTCCTCCTCTAGGGGCTTGGCTCAAGGGTCTGAGGATTCTTGTTACCTTGATATCCCCATATGCTACACGCGTCTGGCCTCAGATGGGGCAGGCAGGGAGTCTGCAGCAGGCATTCACTGTGAAGGAAAAGGATGGAAGTGTTGCTCCCCAAGGCCCCGGAAAGGCCTGTGAGTGCTGGAGGGAAAAATGGCTGAGCCGACCTCAGCAGCTGCAGCCTCAGTTAGAGTGGCCCCACATAATCCCCGGTGCACTTTCCTATTAGGCTCCACTCACTCTTTTCAGTTGAAGGTGACTGTGCCTGCTCTCAGCTTATCAGTGTAGTGGGCCCAAAGAAAGCAAGCTTTCCTGCACACAGGCATAGAGGGATCCTGTGGGCGGAGTGCTCTCTGGCTCACCCAGTGGCTTATTACTGATGGCTGCCCACCATCTCTAACCCCCTTCTACATGTCCAGTTAGACCAGACCTGGCTGTAGTCCTCCTTGACCAGCGCAGCCTTGATTTTATTTTATTTTGTTTGTTTGTTTATTTTTGGTACCAGGGATTGAACTTGGGACCTTGCGCTTGCAAGGCAGGTGGTGGAATCAAATCCCCAGCTCTAAGCCTTGATCTTAAATGGTTTTACCCTTCAGCCATTCAGAGCCAGGCCTTGTTGAAGCAATTGGCCTTGGATCAGGTTTCCCCTAGGAGGCGATTTCTCCTTCAGGCTTCCATGAAAGAGCCAGCTTTTTCTGCCATGCACCCAGGAGATGCATACTTGAGACCACCTCTTTCCATTCCAAAGGTACTTTTGTTCTGGTGTACCCCACGGCCAACATAGCTGTTGGGTCCTAGAGTGCTGGGGAGCAGCCTGTGGGACAGGCCATCTATGTAGATAGGAGTAGAGGTTAGAAACCAGCCATCTGGGGACCCAAAACCAGCAAGCCAGGAGCCAGGGTTTGCACCTTTGCCTTCTGAAATGGAGGGAACTATTTGTAAGTTCACCCTGGCCAGCATGGGAAGAATGGGGATGGGTGGGACAGGTTTGCAGGCTGAGAAGTGAGAGGGAGTTTGGAGTAGCTGGGATTTGTGGTGGTAAAGGCCGGGCCCAGGGCTGGGAAAGACAAGTAAGGAGCTTGAGAGGGGAGGAGAACTGGTTGTCTGGGGGGTGGGCACTGTGGAAAGAGGGGACTGGCTCAGCTCTGCCTCTGACTAACCCTTATCCTGTAGGATAACACTTCCCTGAGTGAGGTTCCTGGTCAGGTCTTCATTCGGTCTGCTTGGCCACCTTGGTGAGGACCAGAGAGGGAAGAGTGCTGGCAAGGCAGCTGGTGGGAAAGGACTGTTTTCTGAGCCAGTGAAGACCCCAGAGAAAGCTGCAGAGGCCAGGCCTGTGTCTACCCTCTCCCTCTGCCTCATGGGCCTGGCTTCCACACAGGACTGTTGCCCAGAGAGCTTGGGCCTGAGCACTGTAGCCAGAGGCCAGCCCTCTCAGCCTGGAGCATCTGTACCAGTGCCTGTGATTGCTGGTAAACAAGTCAGGGTTGCCTTTTGGTTTTCCTTTAGGTTTGTGAGTTTTCTCTCAATGGTAGATGGACCACATGACAGCTTTGCTGGATTGGTCATGGCAAGAGGTCCTTTTGTACCCGCTTTGGACAGTCTGAGTCCACAGACTCCTAAGCCAGTTGTACTGGGCCAGAAATTGGTTCCGGAAATAGGTCACATAGCACAATGATAAAAGGCCATGACCAGAGCCGCCCGGAGTGATGGGATCAGTGTCTGCAGAGCTGCTCATCATGGTTTTCCAGTGAAGCCAGGAAGGAGGGGACTGTCTGCCTTCCCTGTGGGCGCCCTGAGCAGCCCACACACTCACTTCCAACCTACTTCTTCTTTCCCCAGAACCTCCAGTGGGCCCGCGATGTGTTGCTAGGCAGCAGTATCCCGTGGCAACAACTGCAGCACATGCCGGCACAGGGGCTCTTCTGCGAGAGGAACAAGACCAATTTCTTCAACGTGAGTACTTTGCCTTGTTGATTTCCGAGGCTGCTTACTGTTATTGCTTTTCATTGAAGGCGTGTGAACCAACCCCCCACGGGTGGGCATTCCCAGGGCCACAGGTTTGGGGGATTCTCCGAGGGCAGGCAGGATGGCACAGGCCAGAGTGTGCCAGACTTTGATATGGAGCTGTGATTGCTGAGTGACTTCTGACAAATCACTGTCCCTTCTAGGCACCAGTTTGTCCTTTGCAGGGAGAGGCATAGGTAAGCTTGGTGTTTTCTCTGGAGCCCCACGTGTTCTGTAGGCAATTGAGAGGGGGCTTTAAGCCTACAGCAAGGCTCCTCTGGAGCAGATTCACCTTCCCCTGCATGATCTTGGGCACTAAAGAGATTCCAACTGAACCTGATGCTACTGCTTAAAAAACAAGTTTGCCCAAATGCTAGGCTTCTTTCAGTACCCTTCCAGCCCACCTGTTCCACTTCACCACCCAGACCTACCTGCTTCCCATCCCCAAAAGCCTGCATCTTCCTTTCTTGACACTGTGCCAGGACTAGCCCACACTTGTTCTGCCCTTCGAAGAACAGTCCTCATTCATGTTTACCTGTAACTCCTTACCCATCGTCCACCACCTCACAGCATGGCCACTCCCAGCTGGGTAGCCTTGGCAAGTCATGGAGCACCTGTCAGTGTTGGTTTCTTCTGTATTTTTGCTGATTTCCTGATATGTACAGAGAAGCAGAAAGGTGGGATCAGCCTGCTCGGGAACTAAGCAGGGCAGGTCTCAGATTGAAGGGATGTCACAGAGGCTGGCTCTCAAGGTGCATAGCAGGCAGTTCTCCACCAAGAGCCAGCCAGGTGGTGGGACTGTCTGACCTTAACTCTTCCCTTCTCCCAGGCCGTGACCTTCTGGAGCCAGTGAGGACTCCCAACCCTAGGAGCCTCACATCTGTCTACTCTCTCTGTATTGGCGTTTTATAGACATGTAGTCATGTCACTGGTAATCAGTCTACATAGTACCGAGGAATTGCCATGAAAGAGAAGCATTCTCTTACCCACATGCTCAGGCCCTAGCCCCTGCTCTACAGCAGCCACTGTTTTTTGTCCACATGTGTCCTTCTAGGAACATCTGCCCTAAAGTTATATAGATACACACAAGGAAAAAATACATGTTTTGCCTTTTTTGGAGAGTATTTTAAAACTTGCTCCTTTTATCAGTTGATTGTGATGCTTGGTATGGAACCCAGGGTCTCACACATTTTGGGCAAGTGTTCTACCACTAGCTGTATCTCCAGCCTGCTCACTCTTTCATAGCTGTACAATACTGTATAAACATATGGATGTCCTAGAATTCATCTACCCATCTCCTGTTTCTGGGTATGTAGATTTTCTCAGTCTTTTGTTACTACAAACAGTGCTGCATGTATACAATATTGTACATTTGTAGGAGTCTATTTATAGGATAAAACTTAGAAATAGAATTTCTGGGTCAGAGGGTTTGTGACATCTTTAAAGTCTTAGTATCCACCCTCCAAAGACCTGGCCCCCTCCCTCCCCCGCCCCTTTTAGGTTTTCTTTCCCCCCCCCCC